AACTTTTCTTGGAATGTAACATTTTATTTAAGGTTACACTCTTATTGTTCAAAAGACATGCATTTTACTATTATTTTTGTAGACAAAACCATGAAAACATCATTCATAGATTTCTGTAATGTCATCAAAATGGTTGCACATCAGGTACAGTAATCTGTGAAATTATTTTGTTAGATTGAAGAAATAAAGAATTAATGATGAATTTACATAGCAGAATCCCTAGTAAATTGATTCATGCAGGTGAAGTTTTATCAAATGCAGCTTGTTATTTTCAGCACAGTGGAACCCAGCCATATGGTCACCTTGTTAATACAGTCACCTTGTTATTACAGCCACTTTTTTTGTCCCTGCCAGCAAAACATCCATGGATACACTTTCTTATTAAAAAACCTGTTAAATGGCTGCATTCTGAAATTCCAACTTGTGTTTATAATTTTATAATTTTATATTTTATATTTTATAATTTTAATTTTACCCTGTTTATATGGCCACTGAAACCAGTTATGGTTTGAGTGGCCGCAGTTATGTTCATTTTTCTCCTGTTAACATTTTACGTACTGCATTCCGTATTTCTGCATTCTGCATGCTAATTGAAGAACAGTTGTTTAGAAGTGCAATGGTGATACAGTATATCTGTTAAGACGTCACTCAATTTAGACCAGTCATGAAATTTGGCCCTTGCCCATTAAAATGGCCAAATTTTTGTGGCCTGTTGGTGACCGTATTAACGGGGTTCCACTGTACCAAATTCATTTTGGTTGATGTACTGAAATTGTTGTATTAATGTAGCTGTCTGCGGAACATTTGTCATCTCTTGAAAATGATGTGAAGTATCAACTGAATCCAGCCTTAACTGCTGACCAGATTGCCGTTTACCTTCTGACAAACGTAAGGTAAGAAACAATGCAACAAATAAAACTTTTTGATTACCCAGTGGGAGCAGAGACCATGTTCCTTCTCGATAACAGCTGGATGCTCTAACAAGTTAGCTATGAGAGACTTTGTGATAGTGCTAAGTTAAGTCCACACTTGTTTCAAAGTGGACTCCAATGCCTCTTCTTTTTTCAGTATCTGTAGTTCCTTGGTCTGGAGTTCGTGTATTTTACCACTTTCCCTGGATAAGATGCTGCACCTTTGCTAGTTATTCCTTAGTCTTTTGCATGGCTGCCCTAAATTTTTCTGACATCCATTCCAGCCCTGGATGGAGATAGTAACTATAAGAATAAATTGTCCTGCCCAAGAACAGAAGATAGTGACCGCAACCAGAACCTCTACCCAACTGCTCGATCCAGAGTCCAATGTTACTTTCATAGTTGTAAGATCACGTTCACTTGACTTTCCACTGAAAAGGAAATGCTTCTTTTTACACTGCATTAACTGCATTGCAATTTATGTTCTTTTTCCTTTTTTCAGTGACGAAGAACAACAAGATGTGGACACACAAGTGTTGTTTGAATTTGCCCAGGAACTAGAAACAAGGTGTGTGATGAACATTTTATTTCCCCTTGAACTGTCCATATCAAGTAAAGCAGGTAGTCACGAGACTAAAGGAACTGATCAGCATGTGAAACTGTTAAATGTGTTTATCACCAAATTCTCCCAGCTAGCATGCAAAACATTGCTGAGAAAACTCTGTGTTATTATTTCAAAATGATAGACATAAGTGATAATTGATTCCTGTTTATGAAATCCATGGAATCTGATATACTTTGTGTTGTCTGATACAAAATCGCTAGCTGGGAATGATTTATCCAATCAGTTTAAGCTAATAGAAGCTCACTGATGTAAACTACATGAGCATGTGATGGGGGAACTTTTTTGTTGGAAGCATGCACCAGAAAGCTGACAGAAATTGACCAACAATCCTGTTGAACTTAACTAATGGTTAATGGCTTGCACATGCAAGAAACAACATGCAATAAAATATTAAACAATTAGATTATGAGCTTGAGATTTCCATCGTGTGATAGTTGCTGAGGTCATAACCCAAGTCAACTACCACGCACAGAAATCGAGGGGGGATAATCTAATTGTTTTAGTATAATTAATCTACTAGTCGTTCAAAACTTTATCTAAATCCTCTTCAAAGACACTTCGAAAACACATAGAAGTGGCCCCTAGCGTATGCTGCTACACTGCTCACTCTCTACAACAGAAGAGATAGTTAGTATTGTTGCAAATCAGAGAATGGCATTTGTGATAGAATGCTAGTAGATTTATACTAATTGAAATGTTTTTAGAAAATATGTGCACTGATTGGTCACAAAGTATGTTTCTATAACTCGATAGAAACAGAACTACTACAAACTGTTGACATAATGATAGTGTGGGCATAGAGAATTTACATTTTGGTGATCAAAGTAAACAAGTCATTTTCTTGTTTTTGTTGCAGTGTTTTCTAAAAGAAATAGAAAACATGTTCTTCATGTTTCTCTTGAAAGTCTGGAAGAACTCGAAAAAGCTGCGGAAACACTTGCCTGTCAGCTTTTGTTGCCACAGCTTTTCTCGCTCTCCCAAAGTTCCATTTGTGTTTCTATTAAACAATTATTATTAGATTATGAGCTCAAGATTTCTATCGTGTGATAGTTGACAAGGGAGCAGCAACGATCGTGCATAGAAATCAAGAGCGAATAATCTAATTGTTTTGGTATAAATCTACTGGTCGTTCAAAACTTAATCTAGATCCTCTTCACAGACACTTTGAAAATGCCAAGAAGAGGCCGTCATTTAACAAGGGCACACGGCTACGCTGTTCACTATCTATCACAGAATAGATAGTGAGTAGTATAGCCAATCAGAGGACGATATAAACATGGTACACGTTTTCTTTTTCTTAGTCAGAGATAGACATATCATGATGGTAGCTGTTAATTTTTTATTTCATTGATGTAGATTTCTCTCATTATTTTTTCTCTTTCCAGTTTACACAAGGTTCATAACCTTTTCCAGAGTTTGGAATTCCTCCTTCAAGGGTTAGACAGTCAAGGCATCATAAGAGATGACGTCAGAGATGATGAGGCTGGTAAGGTTCAAAGTTGATCTCAAGGTTAATACACTGTGCATGAAGAAACCGAGAGTGATCTTATTGTTTTATCAGAACCCTTGGCTAATGTATTAAACAACACTATTACATGGCTTGTGTTTGTAGCCAATAAAACACACACTCTGATTGATGCTGATTACAGGTCTGCTAAAACAAAGAAAAAAGCCATATAATAAACAGCTAATTAACCTTGAAGGTTTGGTCTTTATAGGAAAATCCCCAACCCTTGTGTTGCTGTATTGGCCTTGCTATTGCTTTGTCAATATGGCAGATTGCCGAGAATCAGCCACTACCAATTAGTGCAGGGTCGTCACAAAATTTTTAAGTAGATGGCACTGTTGTTGTATTAGATGATGAAGATGGCTGATTTTGCCATTTTCCCCCTAAAGAATCACTTAGATAGCCAGCAGTAGTCAGCAGAGATCTTGAAATAGATGGTGATTTTTTTTCCCAGCAGCCGCATAGTCTTGATAACCCAGCTAATTATGATTTTATCATTGCAGGTTGGTCTGATGTATCAAATTTAGTGAGCTGCCATCACTTGTTCAGCAGCCAGTTGAGCTCCTCCCTGCTTCCCATGTCTTCTCACCAAATGGTTTCATCACGAATGGCTGTGTGCAAACATCTCTTGGTACTGCTCAGTTTGATAACAAAGCTTAGCGTCAACAAGGTATTAACAGGTCAAAACTGTGATGTTCTACATGTATGTTAAGTGCATATTTTAATGGGAAGCATGGTGAACCAATGGTTAGTGCAAGTGCTGGTCTATGGTCCTAGCAGTCTGGGTGTGAGCCCATGTGGGGGTCATTACTTTGTGTTCTTGGGCAAGACACTTCTCTCATCATACCTCTCTTCACCCAGGTGTATAAATGGGTACTGGTGCATTCAATGCTGGGGGTAACCCTGCTANGAGGCTGGTAAGGTTCAAAGTTGATCTCAAGGTTAATACACTGTGCATGAAGAAACCGAGAGTGATCTTATTGTTTTATCAGAACCCTTGGCTAATGTATTAAACAACACTATTACATGGGTTGTGTTTGTAGCCAATAAAACACACACTCTGATTGGCACTGATTACAGGTCTGCTAAAACAAAGAAAAAAGCCATATAATAAACAGCTTATTAACCTTGAAGGTTCGGTCTTTATAGGAAAATGCCCAACCCTCGCGTTGCTGTATTGGCCTTGCTATTGCTTTGTCAATATGGCAGTTTGCTGAGAATCAGCCACTACTAATTAATGCAGGGTTGTCACAAAATTTTTAAGTAGATGACGCTGTTGTTGTATTAGATGATGAAGATGGCTGATTTTGTCATTTTTCCCCTAAAGAATCACATAGATAGCCAGCAGTAGTCAGCAGATATCTTGAAATAGATGGTGATTTTTTTTCCCAGCAGCCACTTACATGTAGTCTTGATAACCCAGCTTATTATGATTTTATCATTGCAGGTTGGTCTGATGTATCAAATTTAGTGAGCTGCCATCACTTGTTCAGCAGCCAGTTGAGCTCCTCCCTGCTTCCCATGTCTTCTCACCAAATGGTTTCATCACGAATGGCTGTGTGCAAACATCTCTTGGTACTGCTCAGTTTGATAACAAAGCTTAGCGTCAACAAGGTATTAACAGGTCAAAACTGTGATGTTCTACATGTATGTTAAGTGCATATTTTAATGGGAAGCATGGTGAACCAATGGTTAGTGCAAGTGCTGGTCTATGGTCCTAGCAGTCTGGGTGTGAGCCCATGTGGGGGTCATTACTTTGTGTTCTTGGGCAAGACACTTCTCTCATCATACCTCTCTTCACCCAGGTGTATAAATGGGTACTGGTGCATTCAATGCTGGGGGTAACCCTGCTAAGGACTAGCATCCCATCCAGGGGGGGAGTAGAAATACTCCTAGTCAATTCAATTCTGGCTGTCACATTACAAATATTTTAAAGATTTGGTTAATCACAGAGGAAATCAAGAGGAAATCGAGTTGGATTTCTACAATAACCGGTAGAATTATTGAGTGCATTTTTGGTTGAAAGCTATTATAATAATAATTATTGAGGTGAGTATAGACCATGAAAATGATGTAATTTGAAATGCAACAGTAAAGTAATTTTCAAAGAGAATTTTTCTGTGAGCACCAAAGTGTGGCAAATTTCATGTTTGTGGTATAATACTTGCTATGAAACTAGTGCCGTGTGCTTGACTGTGCCAAATTTTCCCTCCCATTTCCATTATAAGTTTTCTGTATTTTTGGAAAAGACAAGTGAACTTCATTTTCCATGGTCTATACAATGAAACCACTGACTTGTATTTTCTATGGTTTACAAGGGTGAACAGAACAGAAATTGTGACTGATTTGTTTAATGAGACATTGTTCATTTTCATGCCTTTTTGTTTTTAAGATTGGTCTGGATGCCAGAACAGCAGAGGATGTGTCTTCAGTTTACATTCCTACAACAGTGAGGCTATTGAGGACGTACCTTGCTCTTCACTGGATCTTAGAACAAACTGTTACTCCCACTCCATCTAGTGCCATGTATGTATACTACACGTAGTCATGTTTTATAGAAATATTTTAAAATAATGGAGATGAAAGTTTTTATAATTTTGGTTTTCAAGCTAGTCACAGCTTATTTTTGACTGTTTCTTTGAATAGCATTTGTAATGTGTGGTATCCCCTGTTAGTGGGGTATGATCCCAGGGGTATGATCCCAGGGGTATGATCCTAGGGGTATTTCCCCTCCTCCACAAAGAGATATGATCCCAGGAGTGTTGTCTCTCTCCTATGTAATCTCAAAGGTAGATTGCCTCTCCTCTGTTATTGGGTGTGAACCCAGGCCAGGGGCATAGCCTCTTCTGGGATTGAAGGTGCTTTAAATGTGCTCCAGCCACCACCACCGCAGACAAAAAATTCTTTGTTTGTATTGGAATGCTTATTACACAATTTTGAATCAAGAGTTTTTTCACTGAGTAGAGAGCTTAAGTGTTGCATGATTCTATTTTGTTTTGACTATGTTGGTTGCATACTTTTATGTTTTATTTATACAGAGAATCCAACTTAAAACAGTTAGCAACTCTGGAAATATCTGATGGAATGGAGCCAAAGGCAATTTCTGGTAAGAAGCTGGTAGAGAAAATAATTTTAGTGAAAACAATGTTTCTCTCCAGGCTTCAAAATCTCTACACAAAACATGCAGTAGATTGTAATTTTGATTCTTCAAGTGCTAGAAATGGAAATTCAAGATTGGAAATTCAACATTTGCCCTGCCAAATATTGAAAATTCAAGATATGGCCTGCTAAATATTGAAAATTCAACATTTGGCAATTCAGGATTTGGCAGTTCAAGATTTGACAATTCAAGACTTTGCGATTTATGATTTGGCAATTCAAGACTTTGGGAATTCAAAAGTTTGCAATTCAGGATTTGGCAATTCAAGATTTGGCAATAAGATCTGGAAATTCAAGATTTGGCTTACCAAATATTGAAAATTCAAAATTTGGAAATTCAAGATATGGCCCGCTACATATAGAAAATTCAAGATTTGGAATGGCTTGCCAAATACTGGTATTGAAAGTCCAAGATTTAACCTGGAAAATATTAAAAGTTCAAGATATAGTAGTAATTAAGTTTCTTAGTTTCAGGGAATTTGTTTTTGTGACATTAAGACATCAGAACAATAATCACTTTAGGGATACACTTTGTTTTATGGTACATCTTTTTTGTATTTTAGATGATCCATCCCTTACTGTTAGTGAGCTCTTCTTAAGTGCTGTTGGAGGTACACAGCTCAGAAGGCACCTGGCCCATAAACTAAAGGCCTCGCAGGAGATGAGTGTTCAGGACCCTGCCCTGCTGTGGTCCACTTTCTTCAACCAGGCTGTTTATACCCTGATGGACCTGATGTATCCTTGTTAGCTTGAAGACTTTTTTTCCTAGAATCATTGGTCCACATTGTAGTCAGCTGCATTAAAACCCCAAGGGTTTTTTTCCTTTCAGTTATTATAATCATGAAATAAATTTTTTAAAGATGTACTGTAAACCCTCCTTTAGCAGTTAATGATCTTTCACATAGCGGTAATTACAAGCAGTCACAAAGTTGCAATTCCTGAATCCTGTTAAGCTAAAAAGGTGATTCTTTTTTCTTGAATAATTATTGCAGTAAATCATCACGCCCTACTGTTTGGCACATCATGTTAACTTTATTGAGGAAAAAAATTCTTTTCTCCTTCTTTGAAAAATAGATTTTCACCTTTTCATTTCAACTTTTGTTCCTTAAGACATGTCAACTGGGTGGACAAAAATACCTTTTACTTACTCTCAGTACCATTTGACAAATTTAAACGACTAATTCTGGGTTCCCTAATATATAGGAACATTTTTAAGCTTCTCAAAATCACGCTTGAGGTTTTGACAGAGCCACTTTAAACTACTAGAGTGAACATCAAGTATCCATATATGATCTTTCTTAACATGAACTAAATAACAGCTGGCCAACCAGGCAGAGTGTCATTTTCCCAGAGTTTCTCCTCTCAAGGTGTCAGTATCTTCATATTCAAGAGNCCTGCCAAATATTGAAAATTCAAGATATGGCCTGCTAAATATTGAAAATTCAACATTTGGCAATTCAGGATTTGGCAGTTCAAGATTTGGCAATTCAAGACTTTGTGATTCAGGATTTGGCAATTCAAGACTTTGGCAATTCAAAAGTTTGCAATGCAGGATTTGGCAATTCAAGATTTGGCAATAAAATCTGGAAATTCAAGATTTGGCTTACCAAATATTGAAAATTCAAAATTTGGAAATTCAAGATATGGCCCGCTACATATAGAAAATTCAAGATTTGGAATGACTAGCCAAATACTGGTATTGAAAGTCCAAGATTTAACCTGCAAAATATTAAAAGTTCAAGATATAGTAGTAATCAAGTTTCTTAGTTTCAGGGAATTCATTTTTGTGACATCAAGACATCAGAACAATAATCACTTTAGGGATACACTTTGTTTTATGGTACATCTTTGTTGTATTTTAGATGATCCATCCGTTACAGTCAGTGAGCTCTTCCTAAGTGGTGTTGGAGGTACACAGCTCAGAAGGCACCTGGCCCATAAACTAAAGGCCTCACAGGAGATGGGTGGTCAGGACCCAGCCCTGCTGTGGTCCACATTTTTCAACCAGGCTGTTTATACCCTGATGGACCTGATGTATCCTTGTTAGCTTGAAGACTTTTCTTTTCTTAGAATCATTAGCCCGCATTGTAGTCAGCTCCATTAAAATCCCAAGGTTTTTTTTTTCCTTTCAGTTGTTATTATAATCATGGAACAATTTTTTACAATGTGGTGTAAACCCTCCTTTACCAGTTAATGATCTTTCACATAGCGGTAATTACGAGCAGACACAAAGTTCCAATTTCTGAATCCTGGTAAGCTAAAAAGGTGATTCATTTCTCTTGAGTAATTATTGCAGTAAATCATTATGCCCTAGTGTTTGGCACATCATGTTAACTTTATTGAGGAAAAAAATTCTTTTCTCCTTCTTTAAAAAATAGATTTTCACCTTTTCATTTCAACTTTTGTTCCTTAAGACATGTCAACTGGGCAGACAAAAATACCTTTTACTTACTTTCAGTACCATTCGACAAATTTAAACGACTAATTCTGGGTTCCCTAATATAAAGGAACATTTTTAAGCTTCTCAAAATCACGCTTAAGGTTTTGACAGAGCCACTTTAAACTACTAGAGTGAACATCAAGTATCCATATATGATCTTTCTTAACATGAACTAAATAACAGCTGGCCAACCAGGCAGAGTGTCATTTTCCCAGAGTTTCTCCTCTCAAGGTGTCAGTATCTTCATATTCAAGAGTACGCTCATCTGATTTGTTACTGGTGTGACACCTGTCAATCATCTTGGCATTTCTTGTTGGGCCAATCACATCTGACGTTGGGAGAACATCATAAGGCCTTTGGTTGCTTTCTGAAGGCAGCAAAAGGAATTGGTAGGTCAAGAGAGTGCCTAGAGAGATCAACATCTTGCCAACTAGAGGATATTGTCTCAAGCTGTCTGTTGGTATTCCTTGATTCCAAAGAACAACTTCCTGTACATATGAGGATCAGGTTGCAACTCTCACAAGGTCTCATGTAATGACAGAAACCATGTCCCTAGTCCCAAACCAATACTAGCTGCTACGCTATGACGATAAATAGAATTGAAAAATTACGAGAGTTGTTGTACTTCCTACATATTCTTTTCTTCTCACTGATCCTTATACATTTATTTTTCTTTGCGTCGTGAATCTTTTAAGGGTCAAAGGATGCTTTCTTGATGAAGATTCTGCAGAGTGATTCCACAGACATCTCAACTCTACTTGTTCTGTTTTATGTCAAGGTATGCATTCTGGAATTGCTGATTAGTAATAGTAACTTGACTGAGTGGAGTACAATTCAGGGAGTAATTGGGCTTGTAATTTCAGAATTTTAATCGCAAGGGCAAATTTTGTTATAGATATGATATAGGTATTGGCTTGCTAAATATTGAAAATTCAAGAGTCTCAACTTTCAATAGTTATATGATAATTGATGACCATCCAATGAAGTCTCTGTTTCTTTATTTTCAAAACTACTACGTTTTATTTGTCTAGTTATGTTGGTTTTATTTGGAATAAAATGTTAAGTGTTAAAACAATGTGATTTTTTCTGCAGGTGTTGAAGTTGTTTGAGCAGTTTGATGCGCCAGATTATGTCATCCGTGTAGCTCATATAGCGCTGGACTTGGCCCCACCCAGTGATCCAAATATTGTGAGTATATGGCGCTTATTGCATCGTAGGTTTGAGTGGCACCGAAAACATGATATGGTTAGACAAAGGCGACTCAGGGGTTTTATTGACGTTTACAGCAGGAGGGTAACCGGTTTTCACAGGCGGGCAAAACGTTTTTAACTGAACTTCTTTATAAGAAAACCTTTCCTCTAGATGGTCAAACCAGGTGGGCAAAATCATCCTCACAGCCAGGCAATTTGCCCAGTGCACGGCCCTCTACCGTGTGTCCAGAAAGGTTGTAATCAGGCAGGGTTGTACTTAGAAACGGGTTGGGCAAGCAAGAGTACAAAAGTTGTAGCGAGAAAGTGATGTACCAAGAAATGATGGGCGTGGTCAATTGGAGTGCACCCAGAGGGTGTGTTGGAATGAGAGGGTTAAACATCAGTGTAGTGAAGTGGCTATGACTTGCTAGATGCAATCTAATCTTTGCCGTTTTTATTCCAGCCGGATCTGTGGTCGAACATTTTCAAACATCAGCTAGAGTTAGGACACAATGACCTGGCATACGATGCTCTGATCACAAACCCGAATCCTGTCAGGTGAATTAACAACAGTGTCTGCTCAATGTTAAAATTCTCCTGTATACGTTTTCCTTAGTTCCTCGTTGGAGAGTTTGGTTTTCAAGGTATAACGAGGTTTAAGATTAATAGCTGGTGTAGGTTTAGAAGTTCAGTCAATTATATCGAAACTCGCAGGGCTTGGGTAGTTCCTGGAGTATCAAGCTGACAAAATAATATTTTGAAATCTTTGAAGGACGGGGCAAGTAAAAACATCCTTAGTCCTTCATGCTACAGAAACTAGGAAAACCTTTGACAGTGTGTGTCATGTTAGCTTACAAGTTAGTGTTAACTTTTCCGATACCTTTTCAAGAAACCCTGGAGATTCCTTAAGTTTAGGTCTGCCTGAAAATTTCAGATAATTTTCTCTATTTTGAGGTGAACTGTGGTGGGGTCTTTGCTTTCAGGCGACGCGTCTGCCTTCATAAGCTCATGGTAACTCTGTGTGAAAGAGGACAAACTCAGCAACTGATAGAGTATCCCTTCATCAACCTACAAGATGAGGTAAATGCAGATATGTCGGTAAATAACTGGAACAATCAAGCAGACAGATAGCCAGCCAAGTAGTCATGTTGTAATATTTTTGAGTAGTCCGTGACTTATTAAGTGTCATGAATGATGATTATCCGGATTGTCGAAGATCTTTTTGTAGAAGGTGCTTTCCGCGTTGTTGTTTTCAGCTACGTTCAATTGTTTCTAAAACCCGATTTGAGCATGGAAACTTTTATCCTCCGATCTCTTGAATTAGTACAGATTGATAGACTGACTGACAGACAGACAGCCCAGGCAGACGGACAGACAGACTTGCAGAGAGACCGATCCGTGATCCTCACCTTTCCTTGCTGTGTTTGTATTTAGTTTGTAGATATCATGGAGTCTCACGCCCGTACGGTTGACATAACAACCCATAGCTACTATGATTTGTTGTACGCTTTCCACGTGTACAGGGGAAACTATAGAAAAGGTACGAACATCAAATGACATGCATTACATGACATTTTAGCAATAACCTGGTTAGTACTAATTTCACGTACATTGTTAGCAAGCGTTCTGAGTGTAGTTACGAAATGTTTCCCATGTTTTAAAGAATTAGTTAAACCTAAATTTGTCAAATTCGTCGTTTGTAATCCGTGTTTATCCTTCTCCATCCTTTTCCTTGTTCCTTTATGGTTTATTATTATCTCTTTAGTGTTTGTCTATCTAAGTAAACTATTATTTTCAGGTTTCCTTCAATTTTTATTAATAATGCTTTAGAAATACACAGGCAAGTAAAAACAAACGATAAAATGTTTCGACTTTTCGGCGACCTCATGACGCCATTATCAAGGGATGAATGAAAAAAAAGAGCTAGTTCAAAAGAAGAAGTATTTATTTAACTTAAGTTCAATTTATGTAAATCTATAAATCTCTTTTGAACTCGCTCTTTTTATTCATTCCTTGATGATGGCGTCATGAGGTCGCCGAAACGTCGGAACATTCTATCGTTAGTTTGTACTTGCCTGTGTTTTTCCTTCATTTTAAAGGTAATTTTGTGTGTGTGACCAAAATGACTCTAAAATCCGTGACTGAGTTCCTTCAACGGATGTTTTCATGTTTCAGCTGGGTCAGCCATGTATGATCATGCCATGAGGCTGGGACAAGAAGTGTCAGGACTTGACAGTTTACAGAAACAGGTAGAGATTTCATTGTAAAGCTAGGTCTCTTTAATAATCTTGTAGTGATTTGCTTTCCCTTTTACTTCTTTATTCTGTTGTCAGGCCAAATGTTATTTAGCAGCAATGAATGCCCTCCGGCTTGTAGACCCCAAGAATGCCTGGATTGTAAAACCTTTGGACAGAGTCAACACAAGAGTAAGTGATCTATAAAGCTTTAACTTTTTAGAATTTTGGTCTTATACCGTTGTACACCGTTTGATAAACTGCATTAACATAAAATTACTGCTCAAGAGCTTTCATTTGAATGATCGCACAGTAAGGTTTCATCCACAGACGTAACAGCTGCATTTGGCGTTTTTGTTTTGTTTTTCCTAGAAATCTGATGAACCGCCCAACATGTCTCCAAAACGAAAGCAAGGGGAGGAAGGAGACATACTCTATCCAGGTCACTCGGGAAGGACTCGGCGGAAAGTGACAGTGTTAGATATCAGGGACCTGGAGGGAGAGTATCTATTGGTTCTTGCCAGGCTGCAACTTATCAAGGTTGACGCTGACCCGACACGTGCAACAGGTGTGAAACATAAATATAGGACGAACCGGTTTAAAGAACTCGCTCGATTCCCGGAATAGTTGGTTCGTTACATCGGATGTTGGTTACACGCTTAACTCGAATACACCTCGTAAAACTTCGGGTACTCGTGGGTTTCGCTTTGGACCATATGTGCCTGACGAAAAAATAATTCTCTGGATATAAGCCCCTTCTCCTTGTTACTGTAACACTACTACTAAAATTTAATCAAAGCAAAATGAAATACAATGTCTTAGCAGAACTTCACACAAGGTTGAACATTTTTTTTTGTGCATGTGTACAGCTGTCAGAAGAAGAAGCCCCATATGTATCCCCCTGAGCATCCCATAATATCTATTTGAAACAATAACATTCAAAATGGCTGCCGTGTCGGTAAAAAGATCTGATAGATCACCTTTCTTTATTTGCGTGTGAAATGTCTTTTAAACTTAAATTTTACAAATGCTAGCAAAGTCTCAACGTTTTAGATGAGTGATTCGTGTCGTTGCGTGAAGCCTGGTAACAATTTTGATTTGAATATTTTTTTTTACCTCGTTCCAGGCCCTTTGCTGTCCGCTCAGGAGAGCGTGGCATTGTTGAGTCAGGCAGGCTTGTTCGATAATGCCTTCACAGTGGCTTTTCACTTTAATCTTCCAAAGGAAACAATATTTGAAGGACTAGCGTCAAGGTAGGCAATAAACAAGTTAAATATAGAGCTGTTTCCACTTGAGTGTGGAAAGAAATTCGCATTTGATTTGGTTTTTCATTACTACGCTAAACGATTGGCTTAAAAAAGCTATCACAGTTTGTCAACCAATCACGAGTAAAACTAAAACCAATCGTGACGCGTGTGCACACGTTTTCCCGCGCTTCGCGTCAGCTACATGAGTTTGCTTCGCGTTCTGATTTGTTCTCTGTATTGCCTTTGTGCCTTGTGATTGGCCATTTAGATTACTTTGGTTATAGTTTTATGACACTCGGCTGAAAACCGCGTTGTCCTACCGAAAGAAATTCGATCAAAACACGGCAAATTTTTGTGGGGGTGGATGAGGGGTTGCTTTTTGCTGCAGTATTGTTCCTTGTAAAGATAATTAATCCTTTGAATTGATTCATGATTGGAATAAGGTAACTGCTGTACCGATAGAAAGAAGAATTGAATGTGCGTTTAACAGTAACCTCCATGTAACTTAAAAAAAGTGTAGATGCAATATTAGTATATGCGACGTATAAATGAACACCAAAGGAAATTGCACCGAAATATAAATCCACCGACTTTATTTAAATGAGAGGAAAACGGTACAGTTGGTCTGAACTAACGGTCAACGTCCTTTCAACACGGAAATATGTATATTCCGTATGTATTCCATATGTATAGATCGGAAATATGAGCCTATTCCCTTTTTTCAGGAATCAAATAAAGCTCGAGCTACGCTCAGATTGGTTTCTTTTAGGGGTTTAATTCAAATGTTCAAACGAGAATCCCAACCTTTTCGTATAGGAGTTCCCTCCGCGTTCGAAATGTCTAACAAGAGGTGACAGAGTGAAGGAGTGATGGAGTCAAATCGCTCCACACACAACTACAACTCGGAAAAAAATCGTTTCCAAGTTAAAAATGGGGGTGATCGAGCTCGTTTTTGAGTTGTAAGCGCTCAAAGCTAAACTTCAGGGTGTTTTTAGCAGGTCATACTGTTGCTATGGTAACTTATTGTGTCACGAAATTGACACCAAC